AGAATCCTTTATTAAGGCCGCTCAAAGTTGATTAGTTGGTTAACGTCAATATTTTGGGCTCAGGCACGAGGGGGGTAGGGAAAATTTAAACAAACACATATGTTCCTAAGAATATTTGATCAAATCTTATTGGTCAACCTTTAATCACATGATTAATGAAGTTCATGCAGTGCTGTGATTGGCTTGTTTAATTTTGGGGGGAACAGTTAACCGAGAGGGGTTAACCAACTAATCAACTTTGAACGGCCTAAATATTATTTCCCTGTTATTTTACTTTAAGTTACCATGAAGTAAGTACATAGTTTACTCATAAAATAATTACCATCAATAGAATTTTTTATTAAATATTACTTCTCCATTCTTTCACTTTAACAGCACGTAAGTATATAAAATATTGCATACATTTTATCGTCAATAAAATTCTCTATTAAGTATTACTTTCATTCTTTCATTTTAAATTGTCAGTAAGTATAGTTTATTCATAAAATAATGTAACCATTTTATCGTCAATAGAAGTCTATATTAAATGTTAATTCACTGTTCTTTCACTTTATTCATAAAATAGCTATTGAAATTTTTTTTTTTTAACCTTAAGCAGTTACGCTAGTACTTTATTAAGATTCTTGAAACTATCCAACTAAGTCACGTGCCACGTGACACGGCTAACCAAGTAAGGGTGACCCGGCTAGAAAAATCAGAATCGTCAGAAAGGACCGAAATGTAGGAAAAGTCCTTTCCGACGAAAAGAGCGAAGTAAGTAACTTAGTCGGTAATGGAGGGATCACTAATATAGTCGTAATCATTATAGTCTTAGATAACGGTAATATAGACCAAGAAAATGTATATAAAATATTCTTATAAATAAAGGCCGTAAAGGCCCTAAGGAGGGGAGAGACCCCTTAGACGAACTTTGCTTTATTAAAATAATAATTGATCCCTTACATATTATTAAATACATAAACGTCTCCTTTAATACATTAACTAATTGTTAAGTCCCCAGACCATGAAAACCCGCTACTTGAATTTATTTGTTCTACTCCGTAGTATTGTTAAACCCCCATCCGGCTGTTGTATCCTAAAGTACCAGGATCAGCCATGGTCACTCAAGTTCAACTATCCAAAGAAGTGTGATAGTTGAGGTTATATGTATAGTCCAATTACCCAAAGTAGTGAGGTAATTGAGGGTTAAAGTTAGTAGACAGTTCAAGCAAGAAAAAGCAAGACAAGTAAAGAAGAAATACTTACCTATGGACCCAAACCACTGACCAAATCTAAATGCCTTTTTTCAACTAAGCCAACTATAAGTTACACAAAGTTTTGGATGTGGAGTGACTGACTCGCCATAACGTCCAAGTTCAATATATATACAATTATATAGAATTTCCCAATACCTAAGTCTAGCATCACTCAGCTACCCTTATGGTACCTAAGTGCAACCTGTCACACTATATTGAAAATTTCATTAAATATACTTTTCTATTTATTTATATGCATAAAATTAAAATTCGTGAATACAAAAATTATTCATAAAGATATTATTTGTCATTTACTTTTTGTTCTCTAATAAAAAGTTTTCGTTGAATAATTTAATATTTAAACTATTCCTATCTAAATCCTAACTTTGACCCTAATTCTAATCTTACTGAATTAAGAATTTAGTTTTACCACCAACCTTGTACACATTTATGATATGCAATCTGCAGGCATACCCTTATGATATAGACAATATTGTAAAAATATGCATTTAGAGTATGTACAGTTATCAGCAAAAGTAATGTCTGATTTTGATCCTGTGACCAATACACAAATAAATAAGTATTGCTTACCCTCTTATAGCAATTTGTGAAGCAAATCTTTTTTTTTTCTTATTCTTTGACTTCTCACAGAGTACTTGCAAAAAAAAACCTGAGTATAATAAGCATAACTGGCACTTCAATAACAGACAAAGACAAAGAAAAAATCCTGGCTTATATTGAATATATAAGTACCTAGCAAATTGTATAGAAAATGGGATAAGACCTCATCACAATTTGAAGGTTTCTCACCAAGTACTAGAGAACCAAGAATATATCAAATTTGCCAAAGTCTGGAAGCCCTCATGCCCTTAATAATTAAAAAAAAACACTTTAGTGGAAGCAGTCTTGAAAAAAAGATGCAAGCCTTTGCACAATCTGGTCAATGATTTAAAACTTGAAAGCAGTTTAAGAACTGCTTTTCAAGCTCTGCAAAGTTTTGGCATTCAGTCTCGTATAGCAGTAAAAAGCCATTCCTTAAGGAATATAATATGAAGGAACAGTTTGAATGGTGTCAACAAAACATATCAAAAAGCATCTATGATTGGCGACATGTAATTTTTTCTGATGAAACATCCATCAAGCTTGGTAAACAATCATGCCAAATTAGAATATGACATCTCAAAGATAAAAGGCACAAAAATGAGTGCTTAATCTCAAGTTTTAAGAGTGGTAAACAGTTAGTAATAGTGTAGAGTTGTTTTATTAGTAGGATCAAGGGTCCTTTTTTTTTTTTTAATGAGTATAAATGACTTAAAGAAAAAATTAATAAAAAAATATATATTAAACTTTTGGAGGATCATTTATCATCATTTTATAAAAGGGCTAAAGCATCTCATTCATTAGTAGGTGCAAAAATAATGTTTTAACAAGACATATACTGATATATAAAGTATTCGATTGACTTGAAGACAAAAAAATCTCTAAATTGAACTGATCTGCAAGATCTTCTGACCTTAATCCAATCAAAAATATTTGGAAAGTATTGAAGGATAATATTCAGAATCGGGATGACTTTTCAAGAAAAATAGATAATCTTAAAATTGTTCTAAAAAAAGAGTGATCAAAATTAGATATGTCAGTTTTTTTGAAGTCTGTAGACTCAGTTCCAGGAAGGATCGAAGCGGTATTAGAAGCAAAAGGAGGGCATTGTAAATATTGATTAGCTGGAAAAAAAATATATATATAGTATATTGTAAAAATGAAAAAAATTATGTATTTGATTTTAATTTCGTTTAATAAAAAAATTAGGCATTACTTTTGCTGATGACTGTACATTTGCAAAAAACATTTTAAGATTTTTTTAAACTTAGAGATTTTATGCATAGCTTGTGGAGAAGGATCACTTATGGATGCCAAATAAGAATGGATGAATTTACTAATCTCTCTCTAGTTCCTATTGGACAAAGAAAAATCCAGGTTTTTGATCAAATAATGGATGCATCATTAAAACAGTATAAAGGTCTAATAGAAAATATACTAAACTAAAAGTTTACTCAAAATTTTTTTTTTATAACACACAAGATAGTTTTATAACTAAAATTTTAAGTTATTGGCAATTTTGAAAGCTTGTGATTTTTTATTTTTTGAGTCACACCCAATCTTACAATTTGATTGGCAGACAATAGAGACGCTGTAATGTATGATAAACATTATTATTTGACATTTTATATGATCATGTGAATTTTTTTGCCATGATATTTTTTGCATGAAATTATGTAATCAGTTTTGCAAAACATCACAGAAAAAACTTCACATGATCATATTAACTATCCAATAATGTATACTTATTCATCAGTTTATTATGATAGTGCTGCCAAATGACTTGAGTTATTTTAGCATAGATTTACATCATTTGCCAAATAATTTTGTCATTTGGCAGCTTATATATCACTAACAAAACTTGAGTCATTTAGCAAGCACAATCATCGTAAACCACCAGATAATACTGGTATTGTATGCTACGCTGAGGAATGAGTTCAACTATGTAAATCAAAACTGTGTATAGATGTATATCAAATTTTATGTGAATTTTTTTTAAAATTAGTGATCAAGAATTATTTATCACTTTATGTATATATTTTAATAATAAAGAATAAGGACACATTTAAATGTATAGTATGAAATTGCTTTACTTTTTTTCAATTATTTTAACATAAACCTATTTATAAACACATTTAAAACAAAATTACATTATGTTCTAGAATTAAAATTTTATTTATAACAAAAATATCTCTCTTTGAATAATTTATAATATGAAGCAGAGTTTTTGTAAAGAGTCAACTTGAAATTTAATATTAGTGCTGAAAAATTTTTCAACTTAACTTTGTTATAAATGTGTTTAAGATTAGATTTATACTAAAAAAATTAAAAAAAAGTAAAGTATGTAAGTGATAAATAATCCTAATCACTATTTTGATCACTAATTTTTTTAAAAAATTTCACATATAAATTTGATATTCATCTATACATAGTTTTGATTTTGTTAGTTGAACTCACCCCAATGCTGCACAATCAATAACTTACTTATCTGACTTTAAATTTAATGTACCATTTCTGAACCTCCATGGGCCCAGAAGCTGATACATAAAATTTAAAACCAGACAATGGAGTATTTTTCAAATAATTACCGTTATTAGCTGCTTTGCATCCAATAACTATATAATATTCAGTGATTTAAATTGAGCAATCTTTGCACCAATCTATTATTCTTGACTAGAATCCAAAATTCTGATTGATAGATTATCAGATATATTGAAGTATTACTGTAGTTATAATGATCTAATGTAACCAGATTGACTTTTTTTTATTGCATCATTCAGTTGTTTACAAATGTAATGAATCATATAAAATGATTCGATTCTGCTTAGTAATTCATGAGATATGAGCATAATATTATTAAATTGGTCACAATACCTAAACCATGCGACATTTAGGGGTATGCTATACTAAGTTTGAACTCATTTATATTTATATTATTAAATTAAATACTTTATATTAAAAAACTAAAAGAGAGTAAGCATAAAGTTCACTTCTGACTACTTATTTATATTAATTCATTATTAATTACATAACTATTACTCTTAAAGGTTGTAAGTATAAAATTATTTTTGTATATTATTAAACAAAGAATCTCTTAAATAATAATTTAATAATAATTTAATTTAAAAGTGAGTAAGTACAAAATTCAGTTTAATTTATTTTAAAATGGGTAATTTATCATTGACTATTTATTTAATTTAAAACTTTATTTGTGCATTTTAAATAGAATATTCATCATTAAATAATTACTTAATTTAAAAGAGAGTAAGTACAAATAATCTATTTTAAATCCAATAAATTCAGGAATAATAGAACTTTAATTATATTTTTGCTCAGAAACTATAAGTGTTTTTAAAGTATCATTAATGAATACAAATTGAATGAAAAACCTTATGACAATTCAAAAACGAAAAAAAAACATTAGGATGTGAAGGTTTTGGAACAGTATACTTAGTCCAGTCTGACTCATTAGGTGATGTGGCCATTAAAGAAGTAGAATCATTAACAGATAAAATGGATCGAAAGTCTTTTATTAATGAGGTATATTATCAAATATCTATGTAAGGTTTATTATCTATCTGTTTTCTAAGACATAAATTTGTTTTTTTTTAGTTAAAATAACTCAGTAGATCTAATCATATGGGAATTATTCAATTTCATAGAATTAGTTTTGGTAAACCATTTACAATTTAGGGTATTGCAATTTATCACTATAGTAATGTAATATAAAATCGAAGCAAAACATAACATAGCCATTCTGAAAAATCATCTGTAACTCAATATGTTGCCTATAAAATCATCTTTTACATTATAATTAAAAAGATTACTTGCAAATTTATATTAGAAACTCATCCTAAAGTCATGTTTAACTCTAGTCTAATGCTTAAACTAACACATTATTATTGTTGTTATAATTTAACATTACACATGATTTTATGAGTAATGATATCACATAGGTGAAAATTTATATAAAATCCTATAATTTATATAGATTATCATGAGTTTTTTGAAAAATATCATTATTTTAAAATTTTATTATAAGACAAGAAATATGATACATGTTATCTTGTAATGGAATATGCAAATAATAAAACTTTATGAGAATATTTAAAAAATAAATTATAATAGCCAGACAAAATTCAATTGGCAAGACAATTAGCAGATGGAATGTCTTATCTTCATGATATAGATATCATGTATCGTAATTTGGTAAAGAATATAATCTTAATTTCATTGTTATAAGCATTGATAATTTTCAAGTTATTTATAATCATATTGTTTTTAATTTAGTACACTGCAGACATTCTTATTTATAAAGATGTCAAAATTTCAGATTTTGGATTGCCAAAAAATCTTAATACCATGGCAGTAACTACTACTAGTAAAGACTTTTATAGAGTAATCCCTTTTATCGATCCTTGTATACTTGAAAACAAAAGTACCAATATGATAAAAGGTATACAGTATTGAAATTGTGATGTGGGAGATTTCCAGTGATGGAATTATGCCATTTAGCCAAAGTTCCAATTTCGATCTCCCATTCAAAATTATTCAAGGTACATGAAAAACCAATCATAGGAATACATGTACAATATATTACTATTTATTTGAAATGCTGGGATTATAAACCGGATAAATGCCCCTCAATGACAAAAAATTTTCAACAATTAAATTCCTTAGAATTGGATCCCAAATATGATGATACTGCTTAGAGTTTTTTTAAAATAATTTGACTTTAAAATGATAGTACAGTTCATATTTTATTTGATTTTTAATATATGAATGTATGATAATTATTAAATTTAATTTTATTTTAATATAAAAAATATGGGGAAATCCATATAGTCAAGATTATTATAATTAGATTAGGGTTTAAAGCTTGGGCAAATTTAGTTTATACTAAAATTTTGTAAGATTTTTTTTTGTTTTAATCTTAAAATAATTTTATAAGCAAAATTTAAATATTATAAATACTTATATTTATAAATTATTATATTATAAATACTTATATATTATTTATTTATTTATCTTTTTAAAATATTAAAGTAAGTACTTGCAACTTAGGATTTTATTGATAGTATGTTCAGCTAATGTTTGTATTACAACCACAGGGAGCAATTATAAAAAGAATGTACAATTAGTATAATATTAAAATATTATGACTGATCATATAAAAAATGCATTAAATGCAATAAGTGCAATAAGTACATTTATAATCAGAAATAGTATTTTGGATCCAAAGAGGTAAATAAGAAATAAGGAAAGGATGTGAAGACAAATTACATATTTTTAAAGATATTATATAAATTATTATAAATAGGTTTAATTAGTTTTAATAGATAATAAATATAAAGTTGTATTTGTAAGTAATGAATTTAGTATTATAAATAAAGGTTGAAATGGTTCTTAGGAGCAGTATGTTTTATTTGTTTTATTAAAATAACAAGTTTCAATACATTATATCATCTATAATAAAATATTAACATTATATCCAGTATAAACTTTATTAGTCATTTGAGTTCTTTATCATGTGACTTAGCCTACTTGTCTTTGTTGACCCAAAGTAACTGAAAGTCTTAATTACCTATTAGTTATATTTAATATTCTCTTTTATAAAGTTTATCTATTATATATTATATAAGAATTTGAATTGTGAAATAATTAAGTTGTAATCTTCTAAACTTAATACTAGTCATTTTACAATTTTAGTTATTGTCTAATTTAAGTAATCAACTTAAAAGTTTTACATTAATTGTTATAGTTAAAACCTGTTTGTAAGTTTTCTATTTAAACAATCTAGTTTCTTTATCTACTTGCTTATCTATACTTAATAATAACTTTGCTTAATACTAGTAAAAATATATTATAGTTGTTAAATCTTTAAAGCAGTTTATTTATATAAAGAATTTTTGATCTTGTACTAAACTTTTTAGAATCTTCTGTATTCCATTTTTACAGCTAATTTAGTAATACTATAATTGAAATCAATACTTGCAATTAGAATATATTATTAACCATTATATTTTTATAAAATTTATCCTAACTTTGGTACTTACTTTACAACATATCTTTACTATTTTGATATTTAATTCAAGTTCTACTAAGCTATTAGTTCAGATAACCTGAAAAGATAGGTATAATTATACTTTTAATTTATATATTCTTTAGTATGTAATCTTTTCTTTTATTATTCTTTTTAGTTTTCTGATAGTTTAATTAATTACAATAACTTTTTTTCAAAGATTAACTTGTTGTTATCTAGTTTTACAAGTTCTAGTTCTGTTTTATAAGACTAATCTTTATAGTAATATTATTAAAAGTTAGATTATCTTTTTACTTGGAACTTTTAAGAGAACTTACATTTTTCTGATTTTTATAATTTATATAATTACAAGAACTTATTACAGTTTCATATTGCCTAGTACCAGTTTGTATTATTTTATACAAAATACAATCATTATACAAATATTATATAATTTTTTTAGTCATACTAGTATAATACAAATTACAGATATTTATCTCAACCAATAATAGAAACTAATTAATTATAATAAAGAAAAAATTTCAAAATTTTATTAACATTGAGATTTAAACTCTAGACCTGCCACTTAAAGATTATTACTATTCTCCTATATAAATATTTTATATATTATTATAAATATTTATATTTATATATTTTATATTATAAATATTTATATTTTATATATTATTATAAATACTTATATTTTATATATTAGTATACTATATAAAGTTCTAGAATTTTAATGTATAGTAACAGTGTAATAATTATATACTACTAGTTTTTAATATTTTTTGCTTATCAAAATAAAAGAATAAAAACCTATTAGTTTATATATGATGTTTATATATATATATAATAACAACTTATTGAATTACAAATTCCAAAAAGTGGTATATAATCAAAAAATTTGAAATATTTATATTTTCTGTAAACAAATAGAAATTCTTTAATTTTCTTTTTTTAAAAAAAATTAACTAAAAAATTGATGCAGACAAATTGTCTAAATTACATTACAGCATTTTGAAAATTGTCTTGGATAATTTTTAATAAAATAATTAATTGTTTATAAATAAATTATAGCAAAATATAGAACAAGAAATATTGTTAATTGATTATAATGGATTTTAGAAGTATTTTAATAATTAATAAATTATAAACTGAATGAAAAAGTCTTGTTATTTTGTTAATTTAAATAAGCATCCAAAAAATGTATATCATGTTAATGTACAAATAGAAATTAAATTTTTGAAGATGCAGTTTAAAATAATTTGGTTTTTATAAAATTTACTAACAACTGCTTTATATAAAGCCAATACTAACTATAAAGTAGAATTATAAAGCAGACTAATATTAACTATAAGGCAGGCCAGTACTAAGTATAAAGCAGACCAATATTAACCTAATTTTTTTTTAGTGACTAATATAAAAAAGTGTTATTTTATTTACAATTGCAGTTAATTTGGTATTATATAATAGTATAATTCTGTATTTATTATTATCTACTTTAATTTAACAAATTAATTTTTTTGGAATTAAAAAAAAAGTAATAAAAATATGATTTTTAATTATTGACAATGAGAATTTTCTATTTAACAAATAAACAGAACAAGAGATATATTTAGCTTTTATTAATATGATAAAAAAAAATTAACTAATAAAGATGTGAAGTAAGAATTAATATTTTGCAAAATAGTAAAGACTGTTAATGTTACATATATATTAAAACTAATAAGGGATTATATCTGTTGTGCATCAAATTAGAATAGGTGTGAGTTTAAAACTAAGTTGCATCAGATCAAAATTCAAATTTGAAATATTTAAAATTAAATTTTCTAACTTGCATTAAATTAAAATCATATTTATACATTAAGCAAAAAATAGCAAATAATTTTAATTGTATAAATTATTTATACATATATTAAACTTGAATTTTGTTATTATACATATACTCATTATGGCATTTATTTCTACATCCAATGTTGGATTTTTTGTAATGACATTTATTAATATTATAGTTGCTTTTACACTTGCACATTGTTCTTATAAGTATGCCAGTATTCTGACTTTGTGCTGCTTCTCTTAAAGATACATAATCTAATAGAATATAATCCAATTTTGGAAATTCTTTTATACTTAATAGTTCTATCTTACTTATACAATATAAATTATTCAATATACTATCTTTGCACCCAAGATGATATTTAAATGTATTATTATAGTTTAACTTTTCTAAGACTTTACATAAAAGAATTGGTCGATCTGTACTAAATTGATCAATTTTAGAGATGAAAATCTTTATATATTTCTCAACATCATATTCTAATCTATATTTTGACCTTGCAATCATTATAAATATCATTTTAGCTATATAACTTTCTAAATTTTGACAAGCAAAATCTCATAAAACTTAATGTCTTGTTAAGGATTAATTTGATATATCTTGTAAAAATAGTAACTATATGTAAGAAAAAAATTAATACAAATTAATTTGAATATAATACCTGTTCATATGTAAACAAACAATAAATAACATGTTAATAAAATTTATAATAACTTACTGTTTATTGGCTTTCATTATCCAGATTTAAATTTTGATTTAAACTTGTTAATCTGTTTAAAGACTCGATTTCTGTTAAGGATATGGTATTGGTACT